CACACGCAACACTACAGTACTAACTGCTTCGCCAACCACCTCGACACAAGGTGGTGCGGTGTCGAACCGAGGTTTGCGGGCGCGTACCACAATGGACGGCAGTACACCCAGGTCTGACGGCCGAATACCGTGCTCACCGAAGCCACATTACGTCCGGTCGTTATAGAGGGTGTAGCTGCTCAGATGTATGCAAATGCTCAAGCTCGTTGCTATCTACTTAAGGAAGTGCGAAGCTCCACGTTGGACAAATGCATGCGCAATTTCGGGATCAAACCTCCAGCTACAGACTACCCTGTCTCGTGAACAGGCGCTTCTGGAACGGACTTTTTATAAACAAGCCGTTACAGCGCGCCATGTCCAAGCTTGCACGGACATCAGGCTCTACCTTGTCCACGTTCGTCGAGATGATACGTGGTCAAACAATAGAAGACTACAGGCCCAACAAGAACTTAGTGTCATCGGTGTTGAAGAAGCTGTGCAGTGGGTACCGTCACCTTGATCAGCCGTTCAAGATAGCCGAGGGAAGTACTGAAGTGCCACTCCTGAGGAAACCCCTGATTCTGCATGTGCGACCTCCAAACCACGGCCCGGATAAATATCCTGCGCAAAAATATTCGGAAGGAACAAAATGCGTGGCGTTGCCTGGTGCTGGACGCAGATCTTATCGAGCAATGGCCTGAGCTCGTCGTCAGTCCGTTTGGAGTTGTTGACAAAAGAAACGAAGATGTCAGCACCAATGGACGTACGATTCACGATCTCTCGTACCCTGAAGGCGGGCCTGTTGCGACTACACCGATCAGGCCGCATCACAAGCCGGACTATGTTCGTTGTGACGCTTTGACCACCGAGATTCTTCGGGTAAAACGCGAACACCCTAACGCTGAGATTGAAGTTATGGCTGGCGACGTGGTGTCTGCGTTCCGATACATTAGCATACACAGCAACAGTGTGTTTCTTTTCGCCGGTCGGATCGAGGAGGAAAATGCCATTGTGATCGAGCTGTCAGAGCCTTTTGGCTGGTCCGGATCACCTGGGTTCTACGAAATCCTAGGTGGAGCGATTTGCCATGTACATGGCTCCCAGTACAATGCTGTCAACACCACCGGAGTTTTGAACTATCAATGGGTAGTCGATCAGATCAACGTCCCGCAAATATCGGTACTTCCCTCGAGGACATGAACAGGTCTCTTAGATTTGCTATTGAAGCTATCCTGGGTGCTGAAGCAATAAATGATGAGAAGTTCACTTCGTGGAAGACACAACAACGTGTATTTGGGCTCGAATTTGACTCGGTGGCCGAAACCGTTTTAATGCCAGCGTCCTAGATCTGCAAAGCTAGGAACATTGGCGCCTCGGCTTACTTTGCCAGATCACTAACGCGAAGGCGTTACCGATACCTTATGGCGAGCTTACGGCACGTTGCCACCTGCATTCGTGCTGCTCGGCCTTTTCTCCAACGACTACGGGTACGCGAGAGTAACCTACATCGGTTCCAAACTATATCAGTGACTGAGGACACGAAGCAAGACCTCTTATGGTGGTGGCTTGTCCTCCATTATCCCCAACTCAACGGAGTCTCGCTGGATTACTTCAACACATTGCCGCCCCCAAATATCGTGGTTGATGTGAACGCTTCGGACTTTGGCCAATGCGCCCTGGACGTTTCCGAGCGTTTCGCACTAACCTACCAGTTTTCCCCAGCCGAAACTGCGTTGATCTCTGACTTCAAGTCTGACTCCTCCAACGGATATGACATCATTTTTCGCGAGCTTCTATTGTGCGCGTTCGCTGTCAACGAATAGGGTAAACACTGGTCTTCGAAATCCTCCCACAGCCACCGGCCGGTTCACGTTCACTTTCACATAGGCAAGACATCCGCCCTGGCGTGGCAAAACAAGCTCTCATCGCGAAATCCGAGGGCTCAAGGGATCATACGTCTTCTCAGCTGGTGGGAAACATCGTTACAGCTACGGTTCTCAGCATCCCACGTGTCCGGGGTGAATAAATCACGTGCAGACGCCGGCTCCCGCCTCTCAGCTAACCCATCGTTTGAGACTCTTTTCGCTTCACTAATATCCGGCTGGACGCAGGCCTCCCCAAATCTGGACGTTCAAGGACTGATCAACATCTGGCAACGCATCTCCGCGCTCACTCCGTTGCCGACTCCACCTTCATCCAGTACGAACGGGCGCTGAATAAGTGGTATATTGGGCTTCGCGGAACGGTATTCCTGTCTGGCTAAGCGGGATGCCTCTTGATACCCAATTACAACCCATATCGGATTTTGTACTTCACGGCTTTCGCTTCGCCTACGGATCGGGGCCCCCGTCCGCAGCAATACAATTTCGGTGGTCCTACATGGTATTCGAAACTTCTTCGCTGCCTCTGGTTTGTCCTTCCCGATTTCACAACCGCACATCAAAACTGCTACACATAGGGATCGACCGCCTCGACATCCCGAGTAAATGAAACTCATAGAAACTTGTTTCCACGGCCTCGCTATGACGGAACCCTTTTGATCAAGCTCTCTGGGGGGTGTTGTGCTTGGCGTTCTTTTTCCTCTTTAGACGCTCTGAGATCGTCGCAATTGGCGACGGCAAGTTTAAGTGGTTTGCGGTTCGGGGGCGCGACGTTATTGCCCTGGATGAAGCTGGCCAAGCTATGTTACTACCGCGTCTTGCCCGTGTCGTCTGCTTGCGCCTCGTCGGATCGAAGACCAACCAAGCCGGAGGGCCCCCATCACGGCTGCGGTCGCGTTCAGGGCACCCATACCTGTGTCCGGTCTTTGGTGCCCTCGCCTTACTAAAAACTTGAAGGAGTCTCCCCGCTGATATCCCAGTGGCGGTGTACATGAAGCGCAACGGCCAGCCACCGTGTATCTCGGCTGCTGACGTAGCCGAGGTTATCAAACGAGCTGCAGTAAAGACTGTTCAAGATCCAAGGGACTTCAGTTCTCACTCTCTTCGCTCCGGTGGGGCTACGCACATGTACCGCGCAGGAACGGATGCCCTCACGATTCAGTTTCATGGCCGTTGGGTTTCAGATGCGTTCAAGATCTACACCAGACTGTGCAACGAGTCAGTCGCAAGGCTCTCGTCTGACATGGTGGCCGGATCGAGGGGGGATTCGACGTTGCGTTAGTGGAGCGAACTGCATGACCAACTCTGGGGGCACCGCTCTCCTCGTCCCTTATCGGATTGAGCTAAAGACCATCGCATAAGCTCCACTAATAAAAGGAATTGAGTTTTCCACATGAAAATGTCTGGGTGTATACAAATGTATACACTATACGTCTCTTCATGTATACCTGTCTAGCAAGTGGCTTGCTCGATGCGCACCATTCAAACGACTTTCACTTCACAACTCGAAGAACCAAAAACAAACACGCCAACAAACCCGCCTCTCATCGTTCCTTATCGGACTGAGCTAATGGTCATCGCATAAGCTCCACTAATGAAACTGTTCGTTTAACTCCATAAAGTATTTCCCACATAAAGTGTGGAAGTTAGTGTTTAGACTACATCTACCATCTTGCCCTTCTCTTCTTACTGTCCTACTCGACCTCCTAGATGTATCTCATGTATCTATTTACCACCGTTGACCGTTGACTTCGGTTCAATATTGGAACTGCTGAAACTTCGGTAACTCCAATCACATCAGTGTTAGGCACGTGCCGCCGCCGGATCTCCAGGGGCCACTACTGCAAGAGTCCCTTCGGATGACTCGTCTATCCGCGTGCACAGATGGTTTCACTATTAGAACTGCCGAATCATCAGTGGATCCAATCACATCAGTGCCGCACGTGCCACCACCGTCGGATCCCCAGGGTCATCAGTGCAAGAGTCTCTTCCGAGGACTCGCCAATCCGCATACACAGACGGCGCACAATGCCAACACTCCCACTCGCCGTTAGTGCTACGCACTCTTGGTGACGACTCCGCTTGCGTCGAGCGGATACCGAGGACGCCTGGTTCCCGGTCCCTCCGTAAGCATGTCCGCCAACTGATTCTTCGTCGAGACATAATTCACATCAATGATATCCCGGCCACGTTTTCTCTGATAAAGTGGTGGTTAATGTTCACATGTTTGGTCCTTGTGTTGCAGCCCGAGCTGCTCGCCAGTGCTATCGCGCCTTGGTTGACCTCCAACACCTGCGTAGCTTCCACTTGCTCGTGACCTAGGTCCTTGAACATGGCGTGAGTCCACAGCACCTCCTGCGTACATTGGCTCAGGATCATGTATTCCGCCTCCGCCAAGCTCAGCGCCACTGTGTGCTGATACTTTGATTTGAAGACAGCCGGCTTCCCGTTGATCATCATCATGGTACCAGAAGTTGATCGGCGGTCGTCCAGATTGCTGCCCTAGTCCGCGTCTTGGTATGCTGTTATCCACCTTCCCCTTGTTACCATTGTAGACGATGCCGAGATCTCGAGCACCCTTCAGATACCTCAGTGCGCTGATGACCGCCTTCCAATGCTGTTAGGCTGGGTTCTCGAGGAGTCGCGACAACTGAGTCACAATGTACGCCACATCAGGTGTGCTGCAAGTTTTAATATACAACAGACATCCGATGAGAGCTCGGTATGGCTTAGCCTGCACCACCGAAATCTCCGAGTCAGTCTTCGGTTGCTGATTTTTGTCAGCTTCATCCCTGCCTCGCACGGATTCACTTTCTTGTTGGTTGAAGCATTACATCGTCAATGCAGCGGGTATGCTTTATCATGAGAGTCTTCGCTGAGTGGTCGTGGTCGATCTCCATTCCAAGGATAAACTTGCCCTCGCCCAGCTGCTTCAGCTTAAACGCACTCTTGAGTGTCGCCTTAACCTCCTGGATCTCTTCGCTCATCCGCATAGATGCAGATGCACACATATCTCTTATCCTTCACGTAGACGCACTCGTCGGCACCGCAGCTTCGAAAACCGATCTTTGCGAAAACTCGGTGGATCGTCTTGTGCCAAGCTCTCGCTGCCTGCTTCAAGCCGTAGATTATCTGGTCGAGTCAGCACATCATATTATTGTTGTTGGAGATGCCGTACGGAACTTCCATGTACATACGTTCCTTGCGATCGCTATTCAAGAAAGCTGTGTCCGCATCCAACGGCCCCGTCACATACTCCAACGCCACCACTACCTACAATACAACTCGGATTAAGGTCATGTTGGCAACCGGTGAGTAAGTTTCGAAGAAGGTCACACCAAAGTTTTGCTTGAACCCTTCCCCAACCAAGCGGGCCTTGTACCGGGTAACTCGTCCACTCCCATCTCGTTTCTTCGCGAAGACCCAACAATATCCAATTAGTCGGGCACTCGGTGTCCGTGAAACTAACATCCATGGCCCATTGTCCACATGCGTCTTAAACTTCCATTCATTGTTTTCATCCATTCCGAAGACTAATTGCTCTCCATCGCCTGCTGATACGTCGTGGTGCATCATCAGCATCGCCGACGTCTGCAGTATACGCTAGTACAGCCTCAGCGAGCAGGCTATCTTCGTCAAACCTTGGTCGCTTGGGTGATGGTGGCCAGAAGTGGTCATCATTCTCCGGGTCATCGTTATTTGCTACCGAAGATTCATCATTGTGTCCCGATCCGTCCTCGAGAAGAAGTACTGGTTCCAGTACGCGTCGTGTACGTACTGGTTCCGGGTGGAATGACAAGGTACTATCTCAGTGCCGATCGGCACTAATAGTGCGTTCGGTACTATCTCATCCATTCGTTGCAAAAATTAATGGGTGGTTATATGTCGAAGCGAAATTCGTGAAAATCTTGTTGGATCCAGAAGACCGCTATGTGGACTCGTGAGGTTGACGAGTTGGATGCTCCGACGGATACGCCGAAGTCCAGAGGTGCCGTCGACGTGAGAGCCTTGTGGTCCATGTATAAGTCAAATTCCTGACGGTCCAAATAGCCCCTAAACTTTCGTGCACCGGCCACGGCTCACGAAGCTACGACGACAGTCAACGTCACGAGACTAACGAGAAGGCCTGTCTTTCTGCCAGGTGCAAAGCCGCTGATTGAGCTTCGCATACACAGTGACCTGTCGGGGAAGTGCTACCATGGTCCTAACTCCTACTATAGCGTATACAAATATCTAGTATAAATGCGACTAAGCTAACGACTCTCAAACGGCTAACGATGACTCGAATCCGGTGAGGACCTCAGAGAACAAAAAATGTAGGCTTGGTACCACCTTTAGAAGCCTCTGCAGCGCCGTTTCTGAGGATCTCATCTTCATAGTGAAATATCGTTCCGCGTAAGACCCAGTAGCGTCTCACGTGCTTTTGAATCTGGCAACCCCGGCAAACTCTCTCCGTTCTCGACTTGAACAAATTCGCGCGTTCTCGGGTCTCCGGAACAAAAGTGAGAGGGCCAAGCTGATCTCGGCATTTACCTGTCCATTCGGACATTTCCAATGGGTGCCCGGTGAACTCTGCGTGGCAGCGGCTTTATGATGGAGGGTTTCCAGGAAGCTAACAGCACTCGCATTGCTTGGACATCTGTATACACAACGTCTCCGACCGTAGGTGAGTGGTAGCTCACGGCGTAATAGCTCTACTACCATATTCCCATCCACCGTCGGTCTCGCGACTCTTCGGTATGTCGTTAGCACCTGTCCGGGCGATGACTCGGATTCCCACAGCTTCAACTGCTTCTTTCACCTCGGAATCCATTGGTTCATCGGCCGCAGGTTGTTCCATTCGCTGTGATAGTGCCGAACCTACGACGTCTTTTGTCACATAGATGCTTGTCGAGTCTTCTGCACTCGTCGTATCATATATGTCATTCACCCCCCCCCACTCATCCAACTTCACAGATCTAAATATCTTCACGTTGTTCGACTCTAAATCGTAAACTCGGTATCCATTCGAGTCTTCAGCATACCCTAGAAAAATGCATTTACAGCGTTTCGCTTCCAGCTTGGTACGATTGGACTTGTCCACACGCGCGTACCCAATAGATCAAAACACGCGTAAATGGATCAGGCAAGGTTTAGTCTTGAACGACAGCTCGTACGGAGTCGTCGTCGAACGCATGCTATTCGTTGATCGGTTGATCAAACACACCCACCACATCGATGACACACCCGTGGAATTAAGCAAGCGCCGAGCCTTCTCCATGAACGTTTTGTTCATGCGCTCGTCTACGCCGTTCTGCAGCGGACTGTATAGGATAGCCTTCCGATGTATGAATCCGTATTGCTGGCGGATCTTGTCCATCGACTTGTTCACAAATTCTGTGCCGTTATCTGAGAGCAGACACTTGATGCGCTCTCCCCGATTAGTTCTCGTATATGGTCAAGAACGGTTTGAACTCGTTGGCAACTTCACTTTCTTGTTCAAGAAGTATGTCACGATGCATCGCAAGTAGGCATCCACGAAGACTAGTACATATCTGACCCCGTATTTAGACTTCGTCTTCATCGGGCCCATCACATCCGTGTGAACCAACTCCAGAAGGCGTGACACTGTCGTTCACGACCATGGCAGGAAGTGCGTAACCGTCTGCTTGCCCTTCAGACAACCTCCACATAACGTTTTCACCGTCGGTCGTGTCTTCGGCATACCGGTGGTAACCTGCTGTGTCTTCTCCAACGAGTCTTCGTTGAAATGCCTCATGCGAGCGTCCCAAAGCTCCCACTCGCTATCGACTCCCGCGTACTCAATGTAGTACGCCGTATCTTGGTGACAGGCCAATACGTATGCTTTACCATATTTCTTCCCCGAAGCAATTGCCTTGGACTCGTTCCAAATGACGCATGAGTTGCGCTGGAACTCCACGCTCATACCGCGATCTGCCAATTTCCCCACAGAGAGCAGTCGACGGTCGAGGCCGGGTATGTGCAGTACTTTCACTATTCGGATGGACTTTCCGTCGATTCTTTTCCCCCCGTCCAAGCTACCGGAATTTTCTTTCCGTCCGCGATTGTCAAATGCATCTCTGCGGACATTACCGAGTACCCGTACAAGTCATCTCGGTGGAGCGTCATGTTCGCCGTCGCACCATGTCGATTGGCCACCGTGTCGATGGATCTTCCCCAGCGGCGAATACTGAGGCTACGTGACTCCCCCCGTTGGCCTTTTCTGGACACTCCCGCTTGCTGTGACAGACATGTCCGCAGCCGAAATCCTTCCCCGTGAATTCAGCGAGTCTTTGTGAGCCGTTACCCTTGCGGTCGTATCGATTTCTAACCTTGTCGAACTTTCCGTTATTGTCCTTGCCGCCAAATGATGTAGCCTTCAGTGCACGTTCCGAAGACACCTTCTCTTCCTGTCGCTCATACTCCATGAGCAACTTCTCCTTCGCCTCAATCAGGGTCACGTCCTTGCTGTTCTTCATGATCGGTGCGATCGACTCATATTCACCTGGCAAGCTGCCGAGCAGATTGACGAGTTGTCGACTGTCGTTCAGTGGATCACCACGTGTTTGCAGTCCAACGATCAGCTCATCGACCTTGTCCAGGTGTCGGGCCATCGTTGATCCATCGTCCATCTTGAACTCGCGGAGTCGACGAATCATCGTTACACGATTATGCATCGTGGTTTGGTTGTAGATCTCGAGCAACGTGTTTCAGGCCTGCATGGCCGAGGCCGCCGACCGGATCTTCTTGTGACGCTCCACCGATACACCTTGTGCAATCAGACCGAGCGCCTTCATGCGTTGCGTAAGCAGACCTCGGTCATCTCTGCCGGGTCCTTCACCACTTGCACGTGCGCCATTATCCCTTTCCTTGCCAGCGTCATTCGCATGGCGAATTCCCAGTGGAAGTAATTTTCACTTCCCAGGACGACTTCAGCCTTCTTCTAGGACGTGGTCATAACGGCCGTGCGTCTTGAGCTTCTTGCTGCTGTTAACCTGAAATCGTTAGCTTTCGTTGGAGAGGGCAAATGCCGAAGTGGGATTAGTGTTTAGACTACATCTACCATCTTGTCCTTCTCTCCCTACTGTCCTACACGACCTCCTAGATGCATCTCATCTATCTGTTTACCACAGTTGACCGTTGACTTCGGTTCAATATTGGAACTGCTGAAACTTCGGTAACTCCAATCACATCAGTGTTAGGCACGTGCCGCCGCCGGATCCCCAGGGGCCATTACTGCAATAGTCCCTTCGGACGACTCATGCACAGATGGTGCACAATGCCAACTATGCTCCTGATCGCTACCAACCGATGACAATGTCGTTACATTCCACATATTCCTGTTCGCACGAAGAAACATAACGAGTTCAAAATTCGCAGGGAGCATACAAATGTGTTGGGGTGAGCACAAGATTGCACTATAAAAAACGGTCACATGCATTCGAAGTCGACGGCAGCTCCCTCTACAGCGGACTGTAGTTGGCACGACCGGCACCCAGTAAGAAGACGCTGCGTCGCGTAGTCATCTTGGCGTGTCATGCGCTTGTCTCCACACTTCGCCACCTTGAATAGCTTCACCGCAACTGCCTCGACCTTTGAAAGTGTGCCACCGTTGATCGCTTTGACAGTTGCTGCTTCAAATACAGGAGAGTGGACAATACACGCGTCGTGGGGTACTCGCTAATAACCGTGTCAAAAGTTGGCGGATATCCGGCAAAACGATGCCATCGCATCTGCAGCTTCATCATGAGGCTCTGGCGCTTCTTCATGTGCTCCAGCAGCACGAGGAGTTTGCGATGTGCTGCCCCAGTTCGTACCAACTCCTCCACAGCTTCGATGGTCCGGATCTGGGGACGAATTCGCACATAGTGTTCTAGGATCTCGAACCTAGAACTCCATCGTGTGATATTCCGTTTGACAGGATGCAGGTCGTTAGTTGTGGCGAACTCGGCGAAGTTTTTGACAAGACTTAACTTGGACATAAGGATGTTAACTTGTGCCCGTAATGGTTCAAATGATTAATATACCGGTTAATCGCGAGGGCAAACCATATGACTGGCACAACCAACCAGAGGAACGCCGATTTTGATGGTGATGGACTGGTTCGTTAAGCAGTTGCCACCGACAACGCAAGCTACCATGGCTAGAGTTTTGTCGTATTCATCCAACACACCATCCAAGAGTTTTATGTGTGAATCAGCATCTTGCGAACCATCTTGAAGCGGAGACACAGCAAAGAACTACAACTTAACTGCACCGTCTGCCTCGACACGTCGTATACCGCAACGTAATGCATAGAACCTTGGGACCAACCATCGAACATGAGCGCAAAAACAGCTGTCCAGCGCCTCCTCGAGCGACTTTCCCACCTTCTTGGCTACATCATGCATAGAGTTAAGCAGCACGCGTGACGACACCGACCTCCATCTAGACATAGAGAGTGTCAGCTAGTTGTCGACTTCCGACAACGGCATCTTCCGCTCGACGACCCATCGCATTCACTGGAAGCGATGAAACATATCTTCAAACTCGAACCCATAATCACGGAGGGCTGTTCTTGGAGGACGGCGTTGTTGTAGATAGGTCCTTGAAGCCGTCGTGCGTGTTAGCCAGGTGCCCGATCAAGTTGAATTATCCGGTGTTGGCAATTTGTTTGAGTTAGGAGCCACATTGCTTACACCGATAGCGGCCTTGACCGACGTTCTCGTAGATGTAGGCGCAGATGTCTTTGTTGGTCATTGTTTTAGGCTGAGCGGGAGGGCTTGAGCATGAAAAAGGTCACCATACAATTGGATTCTAACGTATTTGCTGTCGGTCAGTGATTTAAGGTATGTAGGCGCTCCGATTGGAG